ATTTGGTGTCTACGTACAAAGCCTTGTTTCCATCCCAGCACCACACCACAAAAAGTCAAAACAAAGGTTGGTCATTCAGGGGCAAAAGGCTGTTCTCTTGATTTTGACTTTCTAATTATTTTCTAATTTTATGAATTTTGTGCTGATTAGAACACAGGCCTACCATATGCTCCCTGACTTTGGTTCATAGCACATGCATGCAATCCTAGTACTTAGGAAGCAGAGGCAGAGGTATCGCCAGCCTGGTAGTTCTACAAAGCAAATTTCAGGCCAGGAACTAAAAAGTAAGACCCTCTCTCAAAAATAAATAATTTAGACGTCTAAATTATAAACAAATTATATGTTGTCTTTTTGTTTCACTTTTCACCAGCCTGGTGATGCTTCCATCAGAATTCCTTCAAGACAAGCTATTGGACCATTCTAAGTCATTTCTCAAGTCCTGTGGGAGAAACCACACACACACCCTGCGGTTCACACTCTGTCCCTTCCTTCCACGGTCTGTATCATCCCAGCCTGGTTTAAACCTCTTCAACCAGAAAGCCCCTGAGGCTGTCATCTGAAACTGGTCTTCTCTTACCCCTGAGGTGTATGAAAACTTTTCAAGACTATTCAGAGGATTAATTTCCAGATCCTACATGACCATGTGTACTGTTTTCTAAAGTTCCTGGTCTTGACAAAGCAGTTGAGGGCAGCATTTCCTTTCAAGACTGTCCTCACACCTTACAAAAGTCAAAACTTCTCTCCCACTCTTAAGGTGGCCCAATTTGTAAAACCCCTGGGAGAGCCAAAGGGACTGGAGATTTGAATCCAAAGGGATTCAAAAATTGGTGTGCAATGAGAAAATGTATTACTTAAATGAATCGATAGTAAATTCCTTTGCAAATCCAATACTTTGTTGTCATCAAAATGGAAGGGGTGCAGCACAAATTGGACTCCGTAGGTTAAAAAAAGAAGAGGAGGAGATGAAGTTGGGAGAGGGATACGAGGGCTGGGGGAGTCCCGGGGCTACTGTAGGGAAGGCTGGATGGATAAGATCTATATACAGTGAAATGCCCCACGAGTACAGTTGAAAGCCAGAAGGAAGATCTGTCAGTTGGCAGATTGTGAACAATGATCGGTTGTAGATTAATCCATGAATCCTTGGGAAAGCATTTCTGAAAGAATGTTAAAATGGAATATCATGGCTACCTTCAAACTTTTGTGTCAGGTATCTATGTCTCCATAATATGTTACCACGAGTTTAGAGGATTAAATCAGTGCACACTTACTGTCTGCTCCGAAGTCTAGCCACAGCTCAGCTAGGGCCTCTGCAAAGCAAGGCTCCCTACTCCCCAGCCTCTTGGTTCCTTGGCCTTTGCCCTAACTCAGCCATGCACTCCTGTGGTGTTATTTATGGGAGTCTTATCAAACTCTCCACTTTCATAAACATAGTTCCAAACAGCTGATACTCAGATCACTAGTGTTTCAGATCACTCTCTGGACTACTTCAAGCTCTCAAGAATTCTCAACTCTTGCCTCTGCTTTCTCAAATCCTTGCCTGGTTCTAACTTCTGGCCAGCCATTGTAGTCACTCTTGCATGTAGCCTCAGCCCCTTGTTTTTCTTCCTCTTTTGTTGAATTCAGCGAAAACACAACGGTAATTGAAGCTGGCTGTCCATCAGGACCGAAGCATCTGAGTATAGCTGTAGAAAAACACAATTCTTATCTCTATTTTCATTTTACCACTATGAATCTCAGGTTCCTACCTCCCCCTCCATTTTTCTAGATTTCATACTCTCTCTGTCTTCCAACCTAAACGTCTTCCTCTTCAAAGAATAACCTTGCTTTCTATTTCATTGAGGACACTGAAGCAGTGAGACACAAATTATATCTACCCTCATCTACATACCAGCCCTGTCTCTCTGTCTTGCCCCTCATTACACAATTAGATTTCCATGTGCCCCGCTATTGTGTGAGAGACTTTTCCTGGAGAGAATGACATACATATCTACTCACTCCAGAAAGGGATCCCAGGAATGATGAAAGTAACTATTGCACACAACCAAACATGGTGAACCAATGAGTTTGTGTTGGGGTTACTAACTGGAATATGGATGAGAGGTTACTCTCAGGAGCAGGGATGACTCAAAAAGCAGCTGCTTCTGGAAAAGTCCACCCCCCAACACTGGTGATGACTCACAAAAGCTGCAACCCCAGAACTGTCTGCACAGCTTGCAAGCGGCTCAACAACTCCCCCAAATTTCCTCTCTGCAGCTCAGCTGGTCAGAGCATCCTCCTCCAGTACTTGTATTTTCTTCTGTAAAGCTGGAAAGGAGCCTTCAAGAATATTCCAAGCAGGAGAGTTAATTGGGATTGTGGGAAGCACTAGGAGAGGGACTAGCAGGATACATGTGATTTGAAGAGGGCAGGGCATTAATTGAGGAGGAAAGAAGGCCAATACAGAAAGAGAGGGAGGGAAGAGGGTAAAATAGCACTAAGGGTGTCTGCAAAAGCCACAAGGAATCACTATTTATTTATCTAAGCATAAATACCCATATAAGTTAATGTATCTGTATATATAATTTAATGAAGTTTTCCCATTTGAGTTGACAGTGCTCACACACCACAACAACCTTAAACTAACAAAAACTCTTAATGCCAGGCATGTGAAACCTTCTTTGAAGTTGTTGGTCCAAGAGACTCCCAAAACAATACAGGCTGTTGCTGTTGCCCTTGGTTGTCTCCCAGAGGTTAAAGGTTAGTTGCTATTGCAGAAGACATCACACACTTCAGGCACAAACCCAGAGGCTCTGAGCTGGATCTGATCTGAAAGCCTCTTCCCCGAGGTCTAGCTTTCATTGTCCCAGAAGGTGCCGTGCAAGCTTCCAAAGGTGGGAAGCAGCCAGGGGTTCTACCCAGCTGTGACTTCTATGAGCCACAACATCAACCAGCATAGCACGGTAACTATAAGAGTGCAATAGTGGCACTCATGTCTTGGAGTTGAGTAACAACTGTCTAATTGTGTCTGATCAACAAGAGGGAAATTATGCCTAGTACTGGAAACTCAGCCAATTACCCAGGGCAGTGAGCTCATGGAACTTAGAGGAGAACCTCATACCAATACTTTACCAAAACAGCACAATCCATACCTACATCTAAATATTTATTATTTTTTAATTATTTTTATTCGAATTACAAACAAGATTGAATTACATGACAATCCCAGTTCCCT